ATAATTAAACATCCCTTCCTACCCTCCCACATACATTTTAATGGAATAGCCCTAAGCAGAAAACAGTTAGCACTTAAAAGTGGGGATTAAGTGGTGCATTTGTAATAAAGAAATCATTATAATACAAGGTCAAATTAATATTCAAAAAACGATTGTAAAAAAAAATCCCTGCAAAACTCAAGAGTCAAAACATTGATACCTAACCTGAATGCAGTTTAACACCATTTGAAAAAAAAACTCATTAAATTTCATCTAAAACTTACTTCATTCAAGGTAAATAGTTACTTATGTAACCCTTTTCGAAGAAATGTGATACTTACAGTACTTGTAATAATTTTAAGGTAAATAAATAAATATTTCATTTTTGGAATTGTATCTTTACATGCTATACTATTCTTAACTATAGATCAAAGAGGTTTCCGTCTGTCATATGCACAGTGACTTTGATCTCATTTTCATGGTTCAGCGACTGTTTAAATCAAAGTGATGGAAATCACTCATGGAAAGATTGGAAGAGCAGTTTTGATAATTTTAATTCATATTTAGGTATGGTGTGGACAAAAGAGAACATTAATAAAGCGCTATTGCTGACAATTATTGCATTAACTGCAGGTCTTTAGAAGGATAAGCACTTTTTCAGTAGGTAGAATGAGCTAAATGTGAATCAATGGTAGCGGGTCCTTTAATTTGCACAACATTTTGTTTAAATTGCAATTTCATTTCTTAACAAAATAATGTTCCCTGTTACATGTTTCACCTTTTACGTTTTATCTTTAGAAACAGAAGTCATTACCAAATGAAGATTCTTTTAATACAGTTAATCAATTATCTTTGTAGGACATGGGACCAACAGATAGACTTGAAACTAAGATATTCATTGTCTCCAAAAATTAATCTTAAAAGAATGGCATGACACGGGTTATGTTCTTCTCATATATTTTATGATGGTATAATACTAAACCCCTAACAGGAGGGATTGTGCCTAATATTCATATGATGAAGACATAATCTTTCAATCAGTTTAATTGAGGTCTGGAGCTGGCATGTCAGTAACTGCTAGTAGTCTGTTGTTATTTATGTATTATTGTCATTTTGTTTATTTTCTTTTGTTTCCTATTCTGACATCGGACTCGGACTTCTCTTAAACTGAGTTATACTGTGCGTACTGTTGTACGTTTGTTTTTTCTACATTGGCTAGAGGTATAGGGGGGGGGGGGGGGGGTTGAGATCTCATGTTTAACCCCGCCGCATTTTTGCTCCTGTCCCAAGTCAGGAGCCTCTGGCCTTTGTTAGTCTTGTATCATTTTTAATTTTAGTTTCTTGTGTATAATTTGGAATTTAGTATGACGTCCATTATCACTGAACTAGTATACATATTTGTTTAGGGGCCAGCTTAAGGACGCCTCCGGGTGCGGGAGTTTCTCGCTGCATTGAAGACCCATTGGTGGCCTTCGGCTGTTGTCTGCTCTATGCTCTATGGTCGGGTTGTTGTCTCTTTGACACTTTCCCCATTTCCATTCTCCTGTTTCAAGCCAATCACAGATAAGTGTAACCTAAATTGTTGATTGATGACAGTTGATTATTGCACATATTTATAAAGCAAAATATAGACCTTACTTGATTACCTTTTTTATATTTAGATTTCATATTTTCTTTTCTTAAAAAAAAAGATCTTGTTAATCCTTAATCATTTATCTTTCAGACATAATTTACAGAATCACTTTATGTAGTCTAGTTCAAAAGTAATAGGCACTGAATAGATCTATCATTTCTGTATATCAAATACAATGAGGTCAAGTATTTGTGTATTGGGATTTATAATGAAAGTTTGTTTAATTATGTAAGACTGAGGTTGAGTAGTAATTTGGTCAATATTATTGGCATTTAAGGAGGTGTGACATTTAAATTAAAGCCCAGCCTTGTCTCTGATTGTTTGGTCAAATTGGAAATCATGGCAGTTGTCAGTCATACTGTTATTGTATCATTACTCTTTCTTAATCAAAATGACAAAAATAGTCTGCAAATTGACAAAACTTAAAGACATACATACTTGAATGTACTGCTCCAAAGATAGAACCCTAATTTTTCACAGTTCATATGTACACAGACATAATATAGGGAACTATATTTCAGTGTGTATTCATTTTGTAGATTTAGTAGCTAACCTGTGCGACTTCTTGTTTTGGAGGCCGGTGCCTTAGAAAAGACTTGGAACAATAGTTCCAAACTTTCCAAAATCTGAATAGTTTGTTTGTCATGTGAATTTCTCACTTCTCATGAGTAATGGGATATCTATGTTTGGTATATGTGATCCTAGCAAGGTCTTCATGTCAGTATTGTGTGTCAGACATGATTCACCTGACATAGAACTGAGTTCGTGGATCATTGATAAAAATAAAGATTTCGTGGTCAAGTCTGTATCTCAGATACTATAAGCAGTATTAGTATAACTGTAGGTTAACTATATTTGGTGTATGGAATGATTATAAGGCATACATGTCCGTCTGACATTGTTCATCTGACCGTGACCTCATTTACATGGATCATTGTTCAATATCCTCGAAGTATAACCTTTTTCTTTAAGACTTTTAACATAAATTCAATCATGATCAGTTAAGCAAGGGGTTCTCATGGCTCTGTTTAACCCGTCAGGTCTTCATGCACATGCCCTGTAAAAATATAAAAGACATATTCTTGGGATTTTATCTAAAAAAAAACCCAAATTTTGAATAACTATATTTTATATTTATTATTCAGTTTTTAGTATCATTGACCTTGAATTTTGACTCATTGATGCCATTCCCAATAACCTCAATCTAAACAAATGTTATTTCAATCAATTTGGGGAAACTTGAGTTGCTATTAATAAACCATTTAAAAAAATCTATTAATAGTAAGCGACCTTGAACTTTGGCATATTGACTCCCCAAAGATAGGCTTTTCACTTTCTCTTTATCTTACATTTATATAAGTTTCATTCCAACTAACCAAGGGAAACTTGAGTTGCAATTCTGAAACCTTGTTGCCAAAAAAAAACAACAACAATGTATGTAATAAGTTACCTCAATCTTTGATCTACTGAACCAATATAATTCTTCCTCTTCTTAAGGTAGATCATAAGTATATATTTTTTGAGATAGAATTTTCTTATACTTTGCCAAAATGAAGATTTTACTATGCTTTTTTCAAAAATATAATAAAAAGTATGGGTCACCGTGCGATTTTGCAAGCTATGAGTCGTGGAAAATTGCCTAAATTTGGTTAGATTGTTCATGAAAAAACACATTTGTGTGCATAAAAAAAATTCTTTGAGATAGAATTTTGAAATAAATTATGAGAAGGTAGGTTTTATAATATGTTTTAAGAAAATAAAAAGAAAAAATGGTGTCACCGAACTTGTTTTCTTGCTACAATTAAAAATTCAAAATTTCCCTATCAGTCCAGTATATATTTTTTACTAAACAGGTTATCTCCCCTTAAATGGCTCATTTAAATAAAAGTGATTCTAAAAACAAAAAATTTGATATTTGTTTAAATATTTTGAATAATACAACAAATCACCAAGTTTTCTTTATACAAATAAACATTCTATAAACATTAAATTGCAAATCTGTCCCCAAATTTGCAGATTTAGACAAATAACTAGACCGATTTTGTACTGCGATTGTACAATCCAAGATGGCGGTATACCATGAATCTACCTTAATATCTTCCAAAATCTTTATAAGTTTCATTTCAATCAAGAAAGGGACACATGCACTTAAGTTATCATGAGGAAGCCATTTGTTTCTGACACACAGACAATGCAATGACTATGTGATTCCAAATGTTTTGTAACGGAGAATAAAAATAAGACAAAAAAAACCTTCTTAAACAGGTCTCTTGAGGTCTACAGTATTTTTGAGAGGTTGTAGGAAGACAATTTTGCCAGAATAAGTATGCGAGTCGACCAAGTGTTGGTGCATCCCAGGCTGCGGTCAAGGTTCAATGTGAATGTTAATACATGTACCAAAGACTTTGAAATGATTCCGACAAAAGCACAAGATCAGTTTACCTAATAAGAAACTTCATGGACCTTATTCTGGCAGAGAGTTGTCTCATTGGCACCCATAACACATCTCCTTGTTTTTTTTTTTATATATTCATGGATGTATACAGTCACAGCAGGGACAATGGCTTCAAGAGTCACTGAAAAAATAGAATTGGAAATGAGCGTCAAACAAGCGAGAGATATAATGAACCATAAAAGCCTGTTCAACCCATAAATTTCAATCAAAGTGCTTGTACCTTAAGACAGTCACACATCTAATATTGTATGAAACAAATTGAGTTCCACAAGTAGCCAGCATATTTGGACTTTGAATTTTGGAATACCTTCAATAAACAAACAAGAAGATGTGGTATGATTGCCAATGACACAACTATCCAACAGAGACCATATAGCTTCAGTTTAAGTTAGTTAAGTTTAGTGTATTTGTTATCATCTGGTCATAATTATATATTTGGGCTTCACATTCATTTAGGTAGAACATTACATTTATAACATCATTTGCTTTCAAGGGCTTTTTTGGAACCTTTCAAAACATCTGCAGTCATATTATTCCAAGGATTATAAAATTTCAAAGCCTTAAAATAACTTTTGTTTCAAATAATCAAGTTACTGTGTTCTGTAAGTTGCTGTGGACAGAACTTTACCTTGTCAACTTGCTCCTGAAACTCGATTGTTCAACATTGCAGTATTAACATCTTTCAGTGCTTAGTGTTTGCTTGTTATGAGTAACGATTACCATGAATTCGTTATTATTGCTGGTTTTGGTTGATATTGTGGGTATAGGTGAACCATGAATTGTTCATTGAATTACAAATTCCCTACAGGCTTGTCTGCAGGATTTGCCAAAATCACAAAACCAAATATCCATGAAAATTCAATATTTCCATAATCCACAAAAATAAAGATTCCACAGTATGTGCACTATACTAGACATAATAGAAGACAGGTATACAGATATGATAATTTAATATAAATTAGTACATTTAAATCTATACAATTAAAAACATTTAATGTAACATGATATTTGTTTTAGTATAATCACTTACAACATAAATACTTAATGAGGGTCTGGATGGGGTTTACAGAATAGAGAATAATGGGCAAAAAGTGGTGATTAATGGATAATAAAATAAAGAATAGAAAAAAATAGGCAAATAATACCTCCAAAGAATAGAGAATGGTGTGTTGAAATATTAAGATATAGAGAATGATGGGCAAAATAAATAAAGAATAGAGAAAAATGGTTTAAAAAATTAAAAGAATACAGAAATGAAGGACCCCTCATCCAGACCCTCCTTAACGACAAGTGTATTTACAATTCAGGACAAACTATTTGTCTAATCTTCTTTTAAATAAGCTTGAACACAATTCATGAAGAGAAGGGCTTTATGAACATGCTAATTTCTAAATAATTATTTTTCACTGAAATTTAGAAGTAAAGACAAAGGTCCTTGCTTTTTTTAAATTCTTATATTTTCTAATTGAAAAGTCAAAAGTCAACAGAGGAAATAAGAAAATGTAAATAGAATGAGGACAGGCAATGGTCAAAAGTCAAGAGGAAATAAGATAATGTAAATAGAATGAGGACAGGCAATGGTCAAAAGAAAAAAGGCAAACAATAACCTACTAAACACTATTAAGCAGAAAACAGATAGCACTTAAAAGTGGGGATTAAGTGGTGCATTTGTAATAAAGAAATCATTATAATACAAGGTCAAATTAATATTCAAAAAACAATTGTAAAATAAAAATCCCTGCAAAACTCAAAGAGTCAAAACATTGATACCTAACCTGAATGCAGTTTAACACCATTTGAAAAAAAACTCATTAAATTTCATCTAAAACTTACTTCATTCAAGGTAAATAGTTACTTATGTAACCCTTTTCGAAGAAATGTGATACTTACAGTACTTGTAATAATTTTAAGGTAAATAAATAAATATTTCATTTTTGGAATTGTATCTTTACATGCTATACTATTCTTAACTATAGATCAATGATCTAACTCGGTTTTATTTCTTATCACAAGCTCCATACAAATAAAATTAATTAAAATGTGCATTTAATTGATATTCATATACAAGTTTTGGCTGTCTGAATAATATTTTACAAATTGGTGACACAAAGAATGATAATGAATCAAAAAGTACAGAAAAATCAAACTTTGTAAGAGACTTTTTCTACACTTTCTTCAGTTGTAAAACAATTGGATGAACAATCTAATCTTAATATTTGCATTGTAATTTTATATTTTATTGTTGCCATAGCTGTTACAATATAAATGATATTGCATTAAAAATTTACAAACTTTAGATATGTTATACTAGGCCTGTATATCTTCAGCAGTAATAACATCAAACCAACTTGTTCAGCACAAAAAATCCATTTCATATCATATTATCTTCACAGAATCAGGTAGAAATTGATTCTTGATAACTTCCATTCTAAGTATTATCATGGAATACACGTAGTGAGATCATTTCATATATTTATGGATCATACTTTGTATTGAGGAATAAGTTAACAGAGGTCATACAAAATTTCTATTTAATTTAGAAGACTTATTAATGCATCGAAAAACTTGCTTCTGTCTTCTGTTTTCATTTCCATAACTGAAACAAAAATAAAAAAAGCAATAAAAAATTGTAAAAAAAAAAGAGATCATGGAAATCTGTGTATCCAGTTATTATTTATTCATATCTGATATCAGCCCTTTTGACCATTATTGTTGAAACCATAAAACCACATAGTAATAAGATAAACCCAGTTAACTGAAGCTCTTAACTTTTCTGTAAACTAATTTTTCCTGAGTGAGTTATTTACATTTTTTTTTTCTGCAAAGAACAATTAACACAGACATATGACTTTGATACTTTAATTGTGTGAATACATAAAAAAGTTAGATTATCAGAAAAAACAAGTTTGTTCTTATGTTGTGCTGTAACACCTCTGTCCCAGGTTATGAGGAGGGTTGATTGCTCACAAACATGCTTAGCCCCGCCACATTCTTTATGTCCCAAGTAAGGTGCCTGCAATTCAGTGGTTGTCCTTGTTCATGTCTGCCATATTTGTTTTTGGTAAATTGTTTTGTATAAATAAGGCCATCAGTTTTCTCGCTTGAATTGTTTTATATTTTCAAGTCAGGGTCTTTTAAAGCTGACTATACAGCATGTATTTTTCTCATTGTTGAAGGCCTCAGTGACCTATAATTGCTTTTATATTTGTCATTTGAAATCTGGTGGATGGTTGTCTCATTGGCAATCATACCAGATCTCCTTTAAAAATATTTTTAAACTGCTATAAAAGGCTACACTGTTTTCATACAAAAAAGTTGGTAAAGGGTATACAACTTACAGTTGTAGTAAAAACTACCATGCAAAGTTCTATAATTATTTAACTTACTGTAACTGTCAAAACTACCATGCAAAGTTTTATAATCATTTAACTTACTGTAACTGTCAAAACTACCATGCAAAGTTCTATAATTATTTAACTTACTGTAACTGTCAAAACTATCATGCAAAGTTCTAGAATTGGTACTAACAGCTGCTTGCTCGAAAGCTTTACCAAAGAAACTGAAAAAATGAAATTATGACATTAAGTTTTAAATCAACTTTTCCATCATGCTTATCAGTTTTGCTCATTAAAGTTTTTATCTATCTTTTATTGTTTTCAAGATAATATGCAAAAAGACAAAAAAAACATGGTAAAAGAGAGCCCAGAGATACCAAAGGGATATTAAAACTCATAAGTTGAAAAAACAAACTGACAATGTTATCGCAAAAACCGAAAAACCACAAAAAGACAAACAATACACAAAACACAACAAAGAAAACGAAAGACTGAGCAACACGAACCCTACCGAAAACCAGGGGTAATCTCAGGAAATTCAGAAGGGTATGCAGATCCTGCTCCACATATGACACCCGACGTGTTACTCATGTAAGTTTGATTCGTTAAGTCACTTTTCAGAAAAAGAGGAGAGGATTGTGTTTACAACAATTGGGACATATCCCTCAACATCTGTGAAACAGATATTCCATAACTATCAACCAACTCGTGATGTTGTCTGTAAAATTGATCTAAGCGATGATTTCAACTCCACCGCTTGGAACACTTGGTAAAAAGCATCATTTAAGGCTAATAATTCCTACAAGGAGTTGACTGACGTTTTTTGACCATGCAAATTTATTTGTAGATCTTGTCTTGCTGATCATTTTTACTATTTGAATTTCTGTCTTTCTAGTAAAGTTTATATAGACAGAAATGCAAATAATTGGCAAGATTGTCATTAAAAGGTAATAACTCCTTTTAAGAGTCAACCAACAATTTTGGCAATATTGACTTTCTTCAAAATCTTGTCTGGCGGATCATTTTTGCTACTTAAAGATGCTCTCCATCTATTAAAGTTCTAATAGGGAATAACACAACAAAATGGTAAACCTCTTTTTAAAAATTCCAATGTGATAGAAAAAATGCAAAAAATTGGTAACAATTCCATCATTAAATGCAAAAACTCTAATAAGGAGACAACTTTGGCCATGTGACTTGATTGCATATCTGGTCTTGCTAATCATTTTTTGTGTTTAAAGTTTCTATCTATATCTATTATATTTTTCAAGCTAATAGGAAATACCTATGAATAAAACACATAGTACAACTATTTAAGGGTAATAACTCCTGTAATAAATCGTCTGACAGTTTTGACGAAAATAGATAATAGGTAGTTTTCAACATTCTGAACATTTCTGGCTCTGTCAGATTTACTCAATCAATAGGATTTTCAAGAAAATAGACAAAACTTGCATTTTAGCCATGTCAGCCATGTTGGTTGGCATGAGGAATCATCCAACACATTTTTTTAAGCTGGATACTAAAATGATGATTGTGACCAAGTTTGGTTCCAATTGGCCAAGTAGATTCAGATTTGAAGATTTTTGTAAAAGTTAACAGAGGAAGGATGCCAAGAGAAAACAAAAAACAAAACAAAAACTTTTCTATAGTGTCAAACAGTTAGGATGTAACACTGCAATAAAAAAAACACAAATACATAAAGTTCTTAGTTGATTGAAGACATATCTTACTTTTTCCTTTCATCATCCAGCTGAAGAGGAGGAATACCTATAACTAGAGTTGTTCCCTGTTCTCCATCTAAAGGAGCACCTAGAACCAGTGGTAGACTTCGAGCTCTCTTGTTACGACTCTGTAAAGAAAGGAAAATTATGTACAGTGCAATATCAGGCCATAATCTTGACTGTGAAATGACGATTTAAGTTGCAAAAACTCGTTAGCCGACTGACTTCATAGTGAAGTCAAATCGCTATCAAAAAGCGGTATAAGGGAGACAACTTGTGATTTATAATTCGCACAGGTAAACAAAAATGGCGAATGACAAGGAAAATCGAGATTTTTTAAATGACCAAGGACTAATACTGTCGACAATTAAATGAAATAAATACAACGACTTTGAACATCCTCAGATTAAACATTCAAAACTATTAAAACGGGTAACTGAGCATCTATTTGAGTTATCATTTTAAGATGATTTTCATGACAGGATGTTGCGTAATCACTCAGCTGATATCTTTTATTTTTATTTATTACGGCTATTACGAGTCAATCAGTTATACTATTCCGTAGGTTAAGGGTAGGGAATTAACGAGTGATTTTTTATATACATCGAATAAAAATTGAAATATAAAAGGTAGAAACACAGCTGATGGATAATGTGATTACAAACGTTCGACACATGGCCCAGTGACTTTGTGATCAGCAGTTTTTTTTTTGCACGACCAACTCTTTAATAAGGGAGATCTTTTATAAAAAAAATGTAAAAAAATTATCTTTTTATCGGTTATTCAATATGTGATTGACAGATATCTTCATTTATAGGCTTATAATCTTTCACGAGATTCTCAATTTACAACTGACATAATGTCCTGGCCCTGGACACTCTGGACATTCATAAAGATATACAAAATTATGACAAGTGGTGATATACATTAAATTGCCCAGTCATTTAAAAGTCATCGGATAAACTGGGAGTCATATTTTTCTGGACTAAGTCACTTTTAAAAATAAATTGAGGCAGATGCATATGAGATAAATGCATGATATTACTAGCAACAAATTTTATTTAAACTTAAATTCAAGTTGACATTACAAATGATATGACTAAATATTAAGTAACAACTATATTGTCTAAACTTTTTTTTAAGAATTTTCAATATATACATTTTGTACAATATCATGTAAAACAATGCAAGTGTACTTTTTATTGCATATATAAAACAATTTCCTTAGTCATAAGGCCAAACCAATTTGATTAATAGTTCTTCAGACAAAAGCTACAAAAAATATGGGGCGAGCGAGCGAAATTTTTTTGTTTTTATATATATTTCTTGAAAATGGGTTTTTTTTTTAGGCAAGTGCTCTACAAGTGAAGCGAGCAGTATAATTTTTTTTAAAGATTGTGTGATTTAGAAGTTGTACAATTTATGTTCATGTTATAACTGGGTTATTTCATAGAAAACCAAGGAGCAAAAGATGCTCTAATGCATATAATTTGATTTATTGGTGCCTGTACCATATCAGACTTTCTTGTCTCACTGTGGTTTAGTTAATTTTGGTTATTTTCTTCAAAATATGTGTATGTATCCCATAAAGTGCCCCTGAAAGATATTTGACAGTTTTCATTACATGGTAATGAAACTAATGATTGTTTATTTTTGAAGTTCAGTGTTTCTGTTGTTCTGTTGTTTTCCTCGGTTTTAGTTTGTTACCCGGATTTGTTAGCTTAATCGAATTATGACTATTGAACAGCGGTATACTACTGTTGCCTTTATTTATTGGCTGCTTGACATCCAGTTGGAACTATTTGTGCATATCTATGATCAAAATAATAAGTGAGGTGAATATTTCTTGCTTCGTACTAAAACAACATCCTGAGTAAGATAGTTATATTGCTATACATGTAGATCCAAATGTATTAAAATATGCCCTTGAAATACCTGTCACCCCATTCACATGCATTTTTCTTACTGAGCAAAATACTCTTTCCTTTTGCTCCTTAAAGCTGTAATGCATTTAAAACTCTTTAGCTTGACTAGAAGTGGTTGAACCAATTACACACCCCTAAGTATCATGAGCATGCCAATCACAATACGGCATCACCATGGTCTCGTTGGAACTCTTTAAATTACCCCCAACAAAAGAAGATTTCTGCTTGCATCCCAAAAGACTAACAAGGGGATATGGGGCTTCATCAACATCAAATACTTCTGTGATTTTTTAAAAAGTGCTTGGGAATTTACAATTCATTTCATCCAAAAGATAGATAGGTCTATGCCTGTTGAAACAAGGATCGGGGGTGACAATGGTTCTAACTAATATTGATGTGTTTGTGGTCATCTAACAAAAGATTTAAAAATTTTTCTCCTAGAACAGGTCTTTAAAGGTAAAACGAGAAGCATTTTGGATAACTGTGTGTTCAATAACTACTTGTCCATGGCAATAAGCTGACAAAATTGCATGTTGGCATCCAGATTTTTGAGCTTTTACTTACAAATTGATTTATCACACGTGTGTTTAATAAATAGGAGCATTATATCCATAGAAAGTCTATGTGAAAGGAGAAACTAATTTTGGAGCGGCATGCGGACCAAAAATTTGCGGAAGCAGTCATTTTTTTTTTTAATTGAAAAGTCAATTTCTCCAAAACAGGACAGGGAAAATCCAAAGAACTATTAATCAAATTGGTGTGGCCTAAGTAGTGATAAGCTCAAGAACACTACACAACCGAAAGGGTCATGGAATTTTACTTCTCCCTACTCTCTCATGGAAGGAGAAGTCACTTCTCCCTCTCCAAAATCCTAGATTAGGCTGCAATATACAGTATATATACATTTCAGAGACTATAAATAAATGTAAAGTTACAACCTAAATTTAATAACTTCTGATCAGATATTTAATCTCAAGTTATCAACATAAATATTTTTAAGGATTATTTAATGAAGACATGTTGTTACATGTTAAAAAGTGATATATAGATATGTATACTGATGGCAGATACTTACAACAGAACAGTGAGCTTCTAATGTAAACCTAGCTAATCTCATCAAACATTGAGGTTTGGAAAAGAACTTGACATCCATTGTACCCTGAAATAATAATTAGTACTTGTTTTATAAACATTTTTACCTGAATGCACATCTATTGAGGAAAATGCATCATATTAAATCATTCCGAGATCAGAACAAAATTGTATCATTGACAATCATGCACCTGTATAATTTTCTTCTCCTCTTTTGCAATGTCATATGTGTGTTACTGGCCTTAATAACTCTGACTCAGACCTATGACCAAGATAATAATGTTTGATCCAAACTTATCAAGATTTCTTCCCATTTCAAAAGTTGTTACTGCCACATTGGTCTTGTACTCGCATTGAGTGGGCAGAACTAAGTTTGATCTTAAACCAAACACAAATGTAATTGCTGCTTCTTAGCCAACCATCATGTTGAGAAACACATCAACTTTAACGTGACGTTGTGCGGACATTGATAGGGAACTCACTTGTAATGTCATTTGATTATGTAGTTGTTACTCTATACTTAAATGTGGCCAACGTTATACAAATATACATCATACAACTTTTGTTTCCTTAACAATACACCACTTAGGAGTGAGAGGAAAATTAGAGGCAACAGTAGTTTTCCGATGTTCGAATGCCATATACATGTATCTATTCAGAGTATACAAATCAAAGAAAAAAAAACCAAAACCTTAAGGAATTGCATGAACTGCAAAATGAGCATTGACAGGGTTTTCATCTCCTTATATGCATGCATCACCCTCTTAGTCAATCCATTCAGTCAAAATGTCACTATAGGGAAAAGGAACACATTTGGTAAAATTGACATATCAGACATATTTTTAACAACTAAAGATCTAGGATTACTTAACATGTCACTTGTAAGTTGAGACAGTCACACACATTGGTCAGCTCAGAGTCAGAATAAAGTGTCCATGTGAATGTTTCTTTTCTTTCAGTGCATTTTTACCTTGTTTTAAACCTAACATGTTAAACATCCTGCTGAAACTGTTGGTATAGTACAATGTAGGGTTCATAATCATATCTCAAACATAAGCTGTGATCTATGGTTAAATTTGAATTTGTTTAGTACTTTTCTGCACTCGACTGTGATATATCAGACAGACAAAAGTTTCTTGTTACCAAAAATCAAGTTATAAAAGACAGTATGATGAATTACCTCTTGTATAAAAGCATACAAGAATGGGCCAGCAGATATGACCTGATGCATGTCTAGAAATGTCTGAACTTGTGTCACTATGGCTTGTGTCTGTTTCTTTGCCAATTCTACTGCCTTCTCTAGGGAAGCTACATTTACCCTGGAAACAGAAAATACATAATTACCATTGATTAACAGGTACTCTGGAAGAGGCAAAAACAATATATTTGATGCGACTGTCATACAAGTGAGAGGTTTAGCTAGCTTTAAAACCAGGTTCAATCCACCATTTTCTACATAAGAAAATGCCTGTACCAAGTCAGGGATATGACAGTTGTTATCCATTCGTTTGATGTGTTTGTTTTTATGATTTTGCCATTTGATTGGGGACTTTCCTTTTTGAATTTTCCTCGGAGTTCAGTATTTTTTGTGATTTTACTTTTTACCATTGGTAAACATAATATCTAGAAATAGAAAACATTTTTACCTTTTCATTAATAATAACAGCATTTAGCACTGGATATAGTTTAAAATAGAATGGGTATTTTTTTGTAATGAATGGGATACTGGATATTGTCTTTTGATCATTAAGAAGCTTCTGTTCTTGTTTTGTAAAAATTCTTTGAAGGTTTGACAAAGTTATTGATGTCCTCAAAAAACTTTAATCATAAACTAAACCTAATTGTCTATGATGCTCACGGAATGTTGGATCTCAATGTCTCGCTTCTTTGACAATTTGACAACACCCCGTAAACTACATGAACTGAAAATCTATAAGTAAGATTTTAAACATCTCTAATTTGACAAGCCTAGTCAGTGACATGAAATCTTACTCCTGGGTCTCTGGCACTTAGTTTGATTATCAACGTCCTTTACATTCTTCTACTCTTAACACATTAAACATTGAAAAAATTCTGAATTCTGTCTGACCAATCTTTTGTAAGATCAAGCATGGTGAAACTTTTTTTTCAAGGTCTAATTGTTTATTTGAAACCAACAAAATATTTATATAATTACCTTTGTAAAATATCTAATGCACTTAAAAAGTTATCTGTAGCACTTTTATTTTTATCCTGAAATGTACAAGATAAAAATAAACAACAAGTTAATATAAATGGGATACAAATGACCAACACGCTAATACACAAAAGTAAAAATAAACATACAAAGAAACACAAAACATACCAGCAAATAGTATTTTTATAGTAAATAAATGTAATTAAATGATTTGATTTTATTTTTTAACACCACTTTTAAGCACCGCTTTTGGGCTATTTCGTGGCGGCCAGTTTTTATTGGTGGAGGAAGCCGGAGTGCCTGGAGAAAAACCACCGACCTTCGATAGGAAAACTGACAATCCTAGTCAATTAAGATTGGAGTCGAGTGCACCCGCACGAGCGGGGTTCGAACTCACAACCTCAGTGTTGACTGGCTAGTGATTACAGTAGTAACTACTTAGATCACTCGGCCACTGAGGCCCCTTGTAATTGAAAAAGAAATCATTAAACAAATAAAATAGTTTTAATTTACAACCGGTTTATCTAAAAAATGATTATAAACTTGTTCTGTTTGTTCTAGTTCTAACCTGTCCTCTTTTTCTTGTTTGCAACTTAATATTAAGACTTTTAAAGGTCAACTTAGCCTTTATATTTTCCTGAGCACAAGAGTTCATCTTTAGTTGTCCAATGCAGTTTGAGTCTTGTTTTTCTTTTTTAGAGCCTGATATAAAGTATTGGCTATTTCTAATAAAATGCTTCGCTGGGCGCAGCTTGATACGACCGCAGAGGTCGAACCCTGAACAGTTGGGGCAAGTAAGGACACAACATTCAAGCTTGATACAGCTCTGAATTTGGATTGTGATTAAATATTTGACACAGCATAGGTTTCTGACACAGAAAGAATGTGGTCTAAGAACTTCAATTTTTTTAATTTACCTATTATGGTCCAATGTCCAAAATCAAAATACATGGTTAGATTCAGCTTATCAAAGAACCCCATATATTCAATTTTTGTTGAAATCAAACAAAGTTTAATTTTGGACCCCAACTTGGACAAACTTGAAAACTGGTCCCATAATCAAAAATCTAAACACATGTTTAGATTCAGCATATCAAAGTACCCCAAGAATTCAATTTTTGTTAAAATCAAACTAAGTTTAATTTTGGACCCTTTGGACCTTAATGTAGACCAATTTAAAAAACGGGACCCAAAATTAAAAATCTAAAAACACGGTTAGATTTGGCATATCAAAGAACCCCAATAATTCAATTTTTGATGAAATCAAACAAAGTTTAATTTTGGACCCTTTTGACCTCAATATGAACCAATTTGATAGCGGGACAACAAATAAAAAATCTAAATACATGGTAAGATTCAGCATATCAAAGAACCCCATATATTCAATTTTTGTTGAAATCAAACAAAGTTTAATTTTGGACCCCAATTTGGACCAACTTGAAAACTGGGCCAAAAATCTAAAATCATGTTTAGATTCAGCATATCAAAGAACCCCATATATTCAATTTTTGTTGAAATCAAACAAAGTTTAATTTTGGACCCCAATTTGGACCAACTTGAAAACTGGGCCAAAAATCAAAAATCTAAATACATGTCTAGATTCAGCATATCAAAGAACCCCATATATTCAATTTTTGTTAAAATCAAACAAAGTTTAATTTTGGACCCTTTGGACCTTAATGTAGACCAATTTGAAAACTGGACCCAAAATTAAAAATCTAAATACAGGGTTAGATTTAGCATAACAAATAAATAAATGTGGTCAAAGATTTTACAAATCTAATGCGCCATACTGGTCTTCCTTTATAAATATGCATTTCTTTAAACATAATTTAAAAGCAGTGTAAGGGAAGTAACCAAAACGTTGTATTTGGATTACCTCCCTTACACTGTTTTAAATTATCTTAATTGTTCATTAACCATTACTTTATACATAATTTAAAAGCAGTGTAAGGGAGATAATTTCAATGATGTATTTGATTTATCTCCCTTACACTGCTTTAAATTATGTTTTGTACTAAAGTATTTGTCCATTAATGAGGACAACCTTGTTTTTCCCCCTTTTTTGCCCCTAATTCTTAAACGGTTTGAGCAATAACCCCCCAAAGCAAATCCTAACCATCCCTTTGTGGTATGGAAACTTGTAGTATAATTTCAGATCCATACACAGTTCCACAGTTATTGTCTGGAAACTAGAAAATGCTTATTTTTGGCCCCTTTTTGGCCCCTAATTCCTTAACTGTTGGTACCATAACCCCCAAAATCAATCCCCACCTTCCTTTTGTGGTATTGAACCTTATGGTAAAATTTCATAGAGATCCATTCACTTAAACTAAAGTTAGAGTGCGAAAACTAATGCGTCTTCGGACGACGACGACGCCAACGCCAACGTCATACCAATATACGACCACAAAAATTTTTTTGCGGTCGTATAAAAACCATATATTAACCTCTACATGTTTCTTGTTTTTTGTGATGTTATGTTGCTATCATATTGACATTTTCCCAAATGTCTTCTCTCTACAAATTACATACAGGATTTCTGCCTTTATTAGAGAATGTCTTACAATTGTACCAAATATAATAAATTCAGTCATTCAAACTTTGAAAAGTATACTCACTATATTTTCTAGTGTAGCAACACAAGCCAACACATAGTCAGACGCACATAATTTATTTTTATAACCATACTGGGCTGAAAATGATGGTATCACAACATCCTGGTTGGTTAAACTGTAAAAATAAATAGAAAGTCTAAAAAGATCCTAAGTTCAGAACAATGTACCAATTCAAATATGGTATTGCAAAAAGGGAATGTCATTTCATAAACAAATTGAATTAGACATATCTTTTGCAAGTAGTTAAGCAACATAATTTTCATGAAAGTAAGATGAATTTGTAAATTGGTGTGTTTTGTTGCTGATGTATTTTTAAATATTAATTACAATGTTTCAACAAAGCATAAGGTTCATCCAAAATTATAAAAGGAACAGCATACTACTGTCAATTACATCAAATATTACACCACATGGAACAGTTTTAAATAATAATATAGTGGATAGATCCAATCAAGCCATAATACAAAATTATGGTGAAGACGCCATTGTAACACACGTATCAACTTTATCCTTAAAGATATCATTCATTATATATTATATATATATACATGTATATATATTTTGTTATGGGCAAATACTATGTCAAGTAAAATTCATTTCTAAGCATGCACTATAAAATCAATATATGATATGCTATGGTCAAAAAGAGAAGCAACGATAAGTACCAAACTTCAGTGGTAACTTAACTTCCAAACAAATGATAAAAATCTATATAATACATGTACTATAGAAATCAATGCATTAGTTTATATGTAAATATAGAATTAAAGTTGTTCTTGTGTTTCCTACAGGTTGAAAGGTCAATGTGCATGTTTAAAAACTATTCTGAAAATTAATTCACAGGTTCATAACAAAATATAAATTAATGAGAAGTATTGCCCTTTAACAATGTTAATTTCTGGGAAAACAAAATGCAAGGACAGGGGTAAAATTCTAAATTTTGTTTACAAATCCCTGTAATCATCTCAAGTTTTTTCTAGCTTTTATTCTGACAAAATGCTTTTTCCCTAATCGAAATTACACGTAATAATTATTAGCGGTCTTCTTACCCATATTTTGTCATGTGATCTTGTATCATCTGTTTTATGTTATGTCGTAAAGTTGATTCCATTGAAGAAAATTTCTGTTTACACTGACTCAATGGCATTCTGAAATAAATCATGTCATAAAGTGTCATAAAGTGTTAACAAAACAATTTTTAGTAATATGCATCTTTGCTAAAGAAAGGTGGTAAAAAATTAGAACACAGGGGATATGTACATTGTCAGTTAATTAGAGGGTTTACACAAGCAGGTAACAATTTTACTGGAAACATACATTTAACAATAAAAAAGAAGATGTGGTATGATTGCCAATGAGACAACTCTCCACAAGAGACCAAATGACACAGAAATTAACAAGTTTATTTTCGACATTTATGAAAAGACAAAAGAGTGAATTTATTTGCTTTGAAGGGCAGAAGGACAGAAGGGCAGGTCACCATTCTATTTGGGCAGGAAGGTACACTCTTAGGGCTATTCCAGAAAAAAATGTATGGGGGGTTGGAAGGCACTTTTTTTTAATACCCATCACCCACTAAATTACATTTCATCATGGGACAACTACCCATACAATTAATTTTCAGTTTGACCCCACTACCCATATAATTTAAAAAAAGTATTAAGCTAGCTTTTTCACAAATAAGCAACAAAAATCATATGCATTTTGATATCTGAAAGTGGCTATATTAATTCTTAAGTTTTTTTGCACATTTGACAATATCAGATATTTGATATAGATTATTGGTGACTAGGTTTTGAAGCTTAACACCTTATATTTTGTCCTGATACTCTTGGCATTAAAAATAACTTTTATTGCAGATGTGTGCATCAAATGTGTTTTGTACTAGTCACTGTCAGTGTCATGAAAAAAAAAACGTAAAACTATCATATTGCAATTATTATTTGAAACAGTGTTTGGGTGACCTCTGGATGCTTTTTTGTATTGCTATTGTCTGATGTGATTTCTTCAAAAGCTGCGGTTTATTTTTATTAATTTCAAATGGTTTAAGTGGTGTGGACTTGCAGCTCAAATCCTTGAGAAATATTCAATTCAACTTTTATAAATAATTCTACTTGTGTTTTTAAATATAAAAATAATCCTTTGAAGCAACTGTGAGTGCGGAAATATTTTTAGCTATATGTACATGCACATCTGCAGATGGAACACTATAACAGAATTTAATCCATCATAAAGAGAGGCAATAGATACCTAAAGGGTCAATCAAACTCAAATGTGGAAAACAAACAGGCCAAGCCACGGCAAAAAAAGAAAAAAAAATGTGAAAAGACATAAACAGAAATCCACATAACACAACTAGAAAACTGAAACAGAGCAACACGTACCCCCAAAAAACAATGTAATCTCAGGTGCTCTGGAAGGGTAAGATCCTGCCCCACATGTGGTACCTGTCATATTGTTCAACATATGTATAAATTCAGTTACAAGTCTCATATGGAGGATTTGTGCTTGCACAGTATAAGTTAATTTATCTCCCCTCTGATGCATTGGACCAGGATTAGTTTGCCAGATGCACATCTTCAGGTGGTATTAGACAAATGCAAAGTTTCATTGATCATATATGGTTAAGGAGTTGTACTTAAAAGCTTACATTCACAAACGGACCGAAGCACTGGATGATTACTATATACATTCAAATTTTCTTTGTAGGAAGTAATATGTTGACAATTAAAGTTTGGTTTAAACAGGTTGTTTTGTAAAATTGTGAAAGCTATCAAGATGAAGAACAGCAATAAAACAATTTCCTTTTTTATCTGGTTAACATGTGTACTGTAAACCCATGTAAATAAACCCATGAAACCTCATCTTCTGCTGTCAGAAGTTAAATAATGTTGCATGATGTGTTAAACAAATTTATTCAAATAAGTCATCTTCTTTTAGATTTCTGTTTTCTAGCTCCTTATCTACCAATTTGAGAATATCAGCTCGATTGTTCTGTTGTCTTGTCCATGAAACCTTGAACTCCTCAAGTACTTTTTTTAGTTCTATAACTGTCAGCTTTCCTAACAAACGATTCGAGAATGCTTTCTTAATTTCAGTCTTTTTCACTGAATCCTCCTTTTTTTCTTCTTTTTTTCTGATGTATGCCCGTATTTCATCTGAGCTGACACCAAGCAAATTCTGAACATTGGTGAAATCTCTTTCATTTGAAAATACAGACTCATTGTTTTTCCTTAATGATTCAATGTTTTTTGATGGTAAATAAAAATCTGGAACCCTAAGGAAGTCTGGAAGTTCTACCTTATTATCTAAAAAATATTGCACAAGCTTTTTTGCTTCCAGATAAGGCAAATACTTATGCTCTGGTAACTTGCTTATGTCCACAATTGGTTGAATTTCATATCTGTTTATACTATTTCCTATCAAGGAATCATCTGGTCTATAACAACTGTAGGCATAATGCTGGAGCCATGCAGATTTGGGGTCGTACATTTCATTGTAAACTGAAACTGCATTGAAGCATTTTGTTGGACTAATACCATACAGTTTGCACAGTTTATTCCATACTGGTCCTTCTGGCTTTATGCTAAAGTTGTTTTCAAAACGATGTTCACTAGTGTCTTTCTTCAAGAATGAAATTATTTTTGATATGGTCTCTGGTGTCAAAATCCAATCAAAATCTGGAGGAGGTTTTACTGCCTCTATTTTTTCACTCGCATATGGTGTTTCATCTATTCTGTTAACTGCCTCTTCTCTGGCAGCTTCCATATTTTCTTTGAACTTTTCCTGGCTAAACAAGCCTTCTTCTGTCTCATTTTCATTTATACTTTTAGAAGAAATTACGCCACTTTGCGATAAAGATCTGCCTTCGGCAAAATGTAGTCTTTCCACTGAATGTCGTTTGCTGCATCCTTCAGAATATGAAATTACTTTTACTTTATCTATGTTCAAAAGTTTTCTTAGGAGGACAGTCGCAAACATAGTCTGTTTGTTCCTGGGTCTCTCATCTGGACCTCCATCAACTGTTATTAATAATTGGGGTATAAGACCATTATCTCCTGTCTGGAAAAACACATGCTGATTTTCCAAAGTCATGACAAACAATAATTCGTTAAAGTGTCTAAACACAGTAGAATTTTCAAAGTAATGTATTTTTACTATTGACAATCCACCACCGGTTAATCTACTTTGACAAATGGGGATTCCACTGAATTGCGCAACGATATCCTCATTTTCTGACATATCCTTCACTTTAACAAATTGATAAGTTGTAATTTGCAAACTTCTTTTTGTGTCCTTTTCCCAATCATGGTCTGAATAGATGACTTTTTTCCAAGATTTACTTGGTCTTTGTACAATTTCTACATCGCAATGTACTAAAGCCTTATCGTCTCTTGCGATGACTTTTCCATTGTTGATCAGAGTCTCTTCTATTGAATAGTTTATGTCTGTCTGTGCAAAATGATCATTAATTGATGGATTGTGGTTCCCATCTCTTGTTGGTTTCTTTAATGATATACCAGGATTTACATTTTTGCCATGATGATGACGTTTTGCTTGGTGACTTTTTTCACGATAGTTTTCTGTATAAGTATAAGCTGCACTAATTGATATATCAATATCATAGATCTGTTTTAAAATTGTTACACATCGAGGCATGTTCATCCATTTACTTTTATGTAAAAATAAAGTGTCGCATATTAATCTTGGATGACTTTGTAATCCATCTCCTCCAGCATCGAACAGTCTTAACATTAACGTTGTTAAATCAGGATACTTTTCAGCAAGAAGTTTCCTTCCAGATCCAAGCACCTGTATTCATTGTCCTGTTTCTGTTCTCTTCTTGTGCAGCATATTTGCACTCAATGAGTCTTTGTTTACAGTCCATTTCTGTATGGTTTCTTTTGCATATGTCATGCTGGTATTTAAGCTGCTTCTTTGATATCTTTTTCCATCTATTCCAGTTTTGTTCAGAAACTCCACCGAAGTTAGTGTGGATATTATATCTTAAGAATATGTCTGTCCTTTTCAGAGCAGCTATTTAATGCTGGTGTCATGATATTTTCAAGTTTTTTACTAATGTTCTTTTTCAAAAGTTCATTTCTGTTGGGCCATTCAATTGTTGCTATTAAATTTGCAAAGTCTTTGTCAATAGGTTTCTTTAGAATAAAGGCTCGAGTCTGATTATCTACAGCTTTGTAAATTTGTATGACAGGTAAATATCTCATGAAAAGATCTCTATATGATGCAGAATGGTAACTAAACAATTTAGTTTTTAAAGAGCAAAACAATAATTCATTATTACATTCAGTAGAATAGAGTTCATAAAGTTCTTTTAATGGCATTAACTGACCATTTTCTAATTTTTCTAATACTTTCAAAATTCCAAAATACTGTATTCGTCGTAAAATGTTTTTCTTTTCATCATTTGCCAGTTTTACCAATGATAAGATAGCATCATTCCAATTGTTTTTACAATAGTTCAAATCATACCAAATACCATTTTTTATTGCTGCTGATCTCCGGCCATCACGCTGAAAATTATCATTCTTTAATCTTCTTTTATAAATATTTAAATTTGTTGTATTTTCTTTACATGAGACATTTATTGAATTTTCCCGCATAGGTAAACAAGGAGCATATTTTAGTTTTTTTGACAGTGATACATACATCCGGTATCAGTGGAACATCTTAGTTCATTTACAACATGAGCAAATACATACATAAGCATGTTTGAGGTTTTGTCACTTGCAGCAATCAGACCATGTAGATCTTTTCTGTTTAAAGTATCTTCTAGAGTCATGTTATCATCAGTGTAATGCACATGGGAGTCAAAAAGGACTTGATCTCCTTCCTCATTATTTAAAATGATGAATGTTTTGTCTGACACAGTGATACAAAGGGCTTCTCTTTCTTGTGAGTTTATCGATCTGTTGTATTCTGCACTGCATATTTCTAATGGTCATCAGATGCACCTACACCAAGTTGTCGGTGCCAATATGTGTCTGATATAATTTTCATCGAATTCTGATATCCAAAATATGTCATAGCTGATTTTGTGTCCATCATCTGAATGTTTCTGTCCTCATACCTTGATACTATTTCATGCAGGCTACTTCTATACTCGGAAAGTGCGGGTTTAATGTGAAGAGAAAATTTTTCATTAAAAAAATGTTCAGCCAATTTTAGGCAGAAACCAGTGCAAGCATTTGAACCTCGTGATAGACCATGGGGAAGCCCAACTGTGTTCTGACTGATTCCTGGAAATAACAACTTTATTCCAAGGTACGTATCATATGTCTGTGGTATAAATAGGGTCATGTTTTTCTTTGTCATTGGATTTTTCTTCTGTTTTTCCTGATTCTTTTTCTCCATACCTTCATTGTTGTTATCCCTTGTGATCTCAGCTGGGTCGTCTACAAACATTACATCATTTGACTCCATACCTTCATCATGGTTGTCCTTTGTTATCTCAGCTGGGTCGTCTACAAACATTACATCATTTGACTCCATACCTTCATCATGGTTGTCACTTGTGATCTCAGCTGGGTCTTCTACAAACATTTCATCATTTGACTCCATACCTTCATCATGGTTGTCCTTTGTTATCTCAGCTGGGTCGTCTACAAACATAACATCATTTGACTCCATACCTTCATCATGGTTGTCACTTGTGATCTCAGCTGCGTCTTCTACAAACATATCATTTGACTCCATACTTTTATCTTGGTTGCCTGCTGACTGGTTATCAACTTTACTTTTCTTAGACCTTAACTCCTTTGCAGTCAGATATTTTATCTCCTGTATTTCTGCTTTCCTTTTCCTACCAGGTTTCTTTTTCTTCTTCCCCCCCGTCTCTCAACTTTATAAGCATGAGCTGTCCAGTTTGTTAGTATTTTTGAATAATCTTTCTCAGCTTTCTCAGCATCAACTGTTATCAATTTTATATGCTTTCGTAATGAAACTTTATCATTCATAGAAATGGTTCCTTTGTATATTCGACTACAAAGTTCCTGCTCTTTTTCTGTCTTTTCTGTCTCCAATTTCTGTATTTCATTTTGTTTCTGTTCTGCTGCTTGCTCATAGCAACTGAATGGATCATTTTCTAATTTTTGAGCTTTACCGATTTCCTTCCCAAATTTGCATAGTGCAATCTGTCTACCACCTTCATATGACCAGGCTTTTTTTATCAAACCTTCCATATAAGATCTTTTGGTATTTTTATGTGCGAAGTCCAAAGCCTTTTTGTTCCAAAACTCATACCATGCACGCTTCATAGGTGTTTGCAAATCTAGGAACTCTTGTTCGAAAACTTTAAAACCAATACGCCTCAATTCACCATATCTGAAAAAAAAAACAACATTATTTCATTTGTATATAAATACAAGCATCATACTAAATTGAAATAAAGACAGAATGTGTGCAGAGTAACAGATACCCCCCTTTTTCCACTTAGGACACCTGTTGCCACATATTGCAATGTTAAACTTAGTAAGACAGACGGAGAGACAGACAGGGTTATTCCTTTTTGTTTTTTGAGCTACAGAACATCTGAATAAATTGCCACTTTGCGTTTTCTCTATTTAAATGTTTTTTTTAAAGCGTGGTGCCCATATTTGTTGACAGTAAAACCTAATACTCATCTAAACCTGCAAAGCTCACCTATTAAATAAACAATTAAATGGATGTAGAAAGATGCTAGGGGCCGTCTTGACCTTGTTGTAGGCTATGAATGATTCGTTCATTGTTGAAGACTCTACATCGACTGTCAAGATGAAGAACAGGAATAAAAGCCCTGTTGATTGATAATTTGTATTTTCTCTATGTATTTTGTGCAATTTTGTCCCATGTACATTTACTCCATATCCCTTTATTTTCTATTACAACAGAGGACAGAGGAAAAGTAATGACAAAAAGTTGTTACCATTAGGTCAAAACTGTATACCCCTATAACTTCATTTGCAATGGGTATAGTTACACACCTGTCACATTTAGGATCCATTTTTCCCTTCAGAAAATGATTAAGTGTCATCTGAGTACCAGGTGCTAACTTTGCTGTTATCTGTGCTTTTGGGATAGCCTGTTTTCTGTTGACAATCTGTGGTTCAACCTTAACATCTTGTTGTTTGGTCTCAAGATCATTTATTTCTACATGTTCCATATTTTCTGGTTGTATTTCAAAAGTTACAGCCTCAAGTGTTACAGATGCTTTGGTGACTTCTTCAGGCTTCTCAGGCTTTTTTTCCTTCATGTCACCTTCCTGTAACATAATAAAAATTGTTTATCTTTTAAATTGATTGATTGATGGTTCTTCAACATCGTGTGATCACTGATGGGGATAAAATCAGACAAGAACATGTTCAACATAAAAAACAAGTAAAAAAGGGATATTAGGATGGATCTACAGATGACAGTTTTGGTGGTTAATGGCAGAAAACAAGACCAAATGTAATAAATATAAGCAATTATATGTCACAGTACAGCTTCAGTGAAGTATGTTGCATATATCTATCAACATATGTTCCGATGATAAATGCATTTCATAAATATTGATCTGTCAAAGAAAAGCACGACATGATTTGAAATAAGAAAAGGAAACCAAAATCATGCCAAACATTCACATATGTAAACAAGAATGTGTCCAAAGTACATGGATGCCCCACTCACACTATCATTTTCTATGTTCAGTGGACCGTGAAATTGGGGTCAAAACTCTAATTTGGCATTAAAATTAGAAAGATCATATCATAGGGAACATGTGTACTGAGTTTCAAGTTGATTGGACTTCAACTTCATCAAAAACTATCTTGACCAAAAACTTTTGCCTGACACGGGACAGACGGACGAACGAACAGACAAACGAATGGATGCACAGACCAGAAAACATAATGGCCCTCTACTATCGTAGGTGGGGCATAAAAACATAGATGTCCTTTGATAATAATAAAACATGTTAAATATAAAAGGATCTGGCGTTATGTTCATACCTTTAACTGATGAAGGAGGGTCCTAAATTTTGCCCTTGGTCCCATTTTTGGGAAAATCTGTAACACCTCATCTTCGTTTAGGCCCAATAAAGCATTACCATCTATTTCTTCTTCTGAAATTATAAAAAAAAAATGGTCTTGTAAAACAAATACTTACTGTGATTATACATTAAACCCCCTCCTAACTATCATTCAATCCAACTTAACATGAATAGCAAATGACAAAGTTGAATATTTACCATACAAGGCACATTTCTATGAAATTTCATTTAAAAAAATACATAATAGTAACAGGATGCTGTTACAAAGTCTCCCAATCAAAGCCTTGTAATTATAAAACCCTTGGTACTACCCCTATAATTTTTTTCCATTTTAGCTGTCACATCTCACTTGCTTATAAAGGATTTGATGTCAATGAAAATTTGAAATGATTGTGTTTTCTAACATGTTTTGTTTTCTCAAACAGGAGGGGTGGGGATGACCCCTGGGGACTCCCCATATATTTCATTTGATTTGTGTTATTGTCCCATACGAGAATATATATGGTTTAGGGGTGTGGATCTCGATCATTTTCAAGTTCTCAAACAGAAGGGGGTGGGGGTGATCCCAAGAGACTACCCCTATATTTCATTTGATTTGTTTTATTGTCCCATACAAGAATATATATGGTTTAGGGGTGGGGATCTAAACCGTTTACACGTTCTCAAACAGGATGGGGATGGGGGTGACCCCGAAGACTCCCTCTATATTTCATTTGATTTGTTTTAATGTCCCATACAAGAATATATATGGTTTAGGGGTGGGGATCTAAACCGTTTACACATTCTCAAACAGGACGGGGGTGGGGGCGACACTGGGAACTCCCTCTATATTTCATTTGATTTGTTTTATTGTCCCATACAAGAATATATATGGTTTAGGGGTGGGAATCTGGACCTTTTGCAAGATAAAAGCACATTCTCAAATTGAAGGGGGTGGTGGTGACCCCCAGGGACTTACCCTTCATTTTATTTGATTTGTTTTATTGTCTAGTGATCATTACTGAAGACCGAGTGCATCTATTACCTACGGTTTTCACGTTTATAGTTATTTGAAAATTAAAAAAAATAAAATCCCATAGGGTTCTTTAGTAAACCCCTCCCTTCTTTATGCCCCTCAAAATACTCCTAAATAAAAAAAGTTTATTCTGATTGGTCTAAGTAGATGTTCCAAACACGTAGTGATCTATGGAGTTGGGGTGCTGGGATAGGATATGATGATTTATTGAAACATGAAAATAGGTGAAAGTTGTTTTGGGTTTTTGTTCGAAGTGGTGATGACGGATGGACGGACAATGATATACAATAATTTAGGCTAATAAAAACCAAATGTCTACAGATGGCAAAAGTGACCACGACATACAAAAAGTGTCGGACAGCCAATCAGAGTATAAAACAGTCATTTAAAAAATTGAGAGTTACAATTGTAGTAAATGACAATCATGGACCACTCCTCTAGTTTTATTCAAATTGTCTCTGTAGTTTCTGACAAAAGTTTTATATCTGATTCCATTTCTTAGGTATTATGTGACCACTATATATACATTTTGTTTGTAACTATTCATTCTATCTCGAAAAGTCTGAGGTTAGTCTTAAAAGCATTTATTCAGTTCTAGGCTAACCTCTACTAGAACTGAATCACTTACCTGACAAAGAGTTAAGATTGAATATTAGTAAATAGTATCTACCCGGTATGTTAATTATCTATTGAAGTACTTTTTTATATTAAAGTGCTGGTTTTGGTGTGAAATACCTTTCATAATTTGTTATCAATAATCACCTTTAAAAGAATAACAATCAAAGGAAACTTTGAGAAATACAAATTAAAGCAGACACAGATCCAGGACTTTGGTTTTAGTAGGTGCATTTTTTTCATTCATTGTCTAGGGTAACAATGCTTAAATGTTTACTGTGTTAAAAAAAATCCTCTCATTTTTAGTGGGGAAAGGGCAAGACATATGCCAACCTCTAAATCCATGCCTGTAGAATGATTACAGAAGCACAAGAATAATATATGTGATAGATATATGGATATATAGCAGGGTATGAAAGTTAAAAATGATTACCGTATACAAATTCCATCAACATCTAAAAATTTTGTGGTAGAATTAATTTGTGATAATTTCATGTACATGTAAACTGCATCAAATATCTTTATCACATTAGGCAATTTGTTTATAAATATATGTTGAAAATAACAGAAAAAGTGAAATGAATAAACAGCATGAAAACAAGTAAATGTGCATTAAAATTATTGATTATATAGTGCTTTTACACAGCAAGCTAGCTATAAGTTATTAAGTATGATAAAATATCCATCCACCAAAAGCATGTGTAGGTTCATAAGTTCTACTACTTACAAATAATACTGGCAATTTATATCCGACATTGATTTCCTACAAAGTTCAATAGAATCTGCTTGCAACTTTGAAAAACTACTGTGACTTATCTATTTTACTACATGTGTACATAAAAGTAATTTTTTGGTTATAATTAATTTACCCATGTATGAGGGTAGGAATGCCATTTACCGTCAGGCGTCAAACAGTCATTTTTGGCTACCGTTAGCGTCATATTGGTTAAAATTTTACCGTGATTTGTCAAAATATCCTTATCGTGATTCGTCAGAGGTCTCAAATAATTATCGTTACCGTTATTTTTGGAAAAAATTTAACGTGATTCGTCAAAATCAGTTGATTTTTTTTATCGTTTAAAAGAAAGTGTACATTTTATCGTCATGTACCAAAAATTACCGTTAACGTCATTTGTTAAGAATTTTTACCGTTATTGGTCATGAAGGTACCCCCATTACGACCCTCATGTATACTCAGAATAATAACAATCAAACTATGCCAAAGGCAAACAAATAATTATATTACCTTCTGACAAAACATTTCACTGTACTAATCAAGTTCTGGAGCATATTTCACACAATACTGATAAAAAAATACTCTTGTGGTTATATTATGTTTATTTTTGTCATTTCTGTGTTTTTATTATATATATATAATGATAAAATAAAAATCAATCAAGAATCAAGATGCCAACAAAACAGCCTTTTCTCGTATGAAATTTTTTTTTTAATAACCCTAATTAAAATCATTTTATTGTTTGTATTGGGACTCTGTAACTTCCTTTCGAATATACACTCATTTATCTGTTTAATTTCGATTGTCAGTAAAACATACTGACTTTTTGTTTTTTGCATTTATTTCGTTAATAACATGGTAAACTTTGCTTTTCTGGAGCCAGTCTTCGAGTTGTGGATAAATTTTCACAACACCATCTCCTTTAATGAACAAATATTACCTGTAAAAAAGTCCGCAAATTTCCCCAATCCATTGGATTGGAGCCAGGAACAAACAGCGATAACATCCCACTGTCCAGCCATGCTGTTTCCATGCGGTAAACAATCCGGTAACTGAACATGTCACATTAGGGAAAACAGTTAAAAAAGAAATCCGGGAACCAGTTACTACTCTGACACTTTGTAACTCTCTCCCTTTTAGGAACACCGATATGCATATACAGTTCCATTCGAAACGCTCGGGCATTAACCAAAGGATTTAATATGCGCAAAAAGTAAACAAAATCGCCGATTAAAACACGTTTTCCATCGATATTTGAAGGTTCTATCAACTGAAAAAGATATTTTCTTCTCTTTAGGTACAACCACCCATCTAATTAAGTTGTGTAAGAGAACAACTACCCACACAATTTTAATTCCTCCTCCCCCCATCACCCATGCAAAAAAAGATCAACTGCCGTCCAACACCCCCATACATTTTTTTCTGGAATAGCACTTATCCAATTCATCCATTCATTGTGACTTATTTTTAGATTTTAAAACCCATATCTATTCATATGATTGTTACTTGATGTACAGACCTATAATTTATTCAGCACTGCAGTTCTAAGGAGAAAGATTATAAAATGGATTATCTCCCCATTAATAGAAATGTGGACATGCTAATTTTGTTTTTAAAAGAATATCAGCTCTTCCTGAAATATAAATCTTGACATAAAAACATAGCCATAGTTCTCAATCTTTTATTACAAAATGTTGGTCATGATGGCCAAAATGTGTAGGGCATAAAAATTGTGGATTTTTTCATGGATTTGAATATTATGGAGATTCTGACACTGATCAGGTTTAATATTCAGGATTGATAATAATTTTCACAGGAAATAACACTCACCCCATTTCTGCTAAAAATTCATGTAATCTTTTCTGTCCCTTTAATGTCCAAACTTTGAATTTACAAGCCAAGTTGACAGAATGACATATACTGTCAAACAATGACCAATGTCTGTATAATGTTAATTGTAATTCTTCATCAAACACTATTTTTAAACAGTTTATAGATATGATATTATCTTCATCATCTCCTCTGAAAAGAAAGAAATTTATTAAGAATATCAGTTGATATCGTAATTAAGGTACAGAACATTACAAATCTAAATATTGTAAATTCAGAAATTTTTGCAATATTTTCATTATTGCGAATAATGAGACAGGATAGATTTAGTAAAAATAAAAAAAATTACAGTATTGAATTGCCAGATGATTTGAATTACTGCGTACCGGTAAATATAATTATATGTGCAATACACACTTTAGGAGTGCATAGCAGATTTTTAATAGTTTCAGTTTAATTTTTTCACCACTTTTATAGGCTTCAGACAATTTGGAGCTTTACATATTGTACAGACACCAATCTATTGTTTGAGACTGGAAGTTGCGCTGAAGATGTCTTTTGGTTATTTTTGTCCTTGGTTTACTATTTCATGGATGTATACCCCCAAATCTCCTTTTCTTCATCTCCATGGATTTTATTGGTACAAACATCAAAATATAAATTCTCTACAACTGTTCTGACAGAAAAAGTTTTGCATTATAGGACCGTCTCTGTTTTGTGACAGGCCGAGTTGTTATGGTCCAATTTATACAGGTATTTTGGGCACTCACAAGGTGAAATATGATGCAAATGACTTGAAACCACAAAATTAGGTAGTGTAAAAACTCACACTTTTGAAGAAAAAAATCCAGATCCATGTAAATAGTGCAACCAGAATATTTAAATGCTCAATTCAAAGTGCATAATCCTATCAGTGATGTAATCTGACACTATCAAAAATCTTGATACATGTTACAAAGTGTAGTGTTATTTGAACTCAATAAAATCCTAGGTATTTCTACTTGCTTTTTCCTATACAGAAGTATTGTCTGTCTGTCTGTCTGATACTTTTTATAACTTCTAGTCTGTCTCATACATTGTCAATCTAGAGTACATATATTATAAAGATTAACCTGTGATTATGTCTAGCAACATGTGACTCTAGAGCCATTGCATCATCAATATATTTATCCCTGGGGGTTTTAAAATGTATATATTGATCTGTTACTCCTACAACAGCCAACCTGTAAAGAAACAAATCGGAGAATAATTTCTGATCATGGAACATTGCAATTATCAAACAGTGAAGTTGAAACTATTCTTGCTGGTTTGTTTTAACTTTTCTTTATATAAGATATATATGATTTTGTGTGGAAAAGAATAAGAACTGCATTTCTTTTTCAAAAAGCAAAACATATATTGAAAAGCTAATAAGACATTTTACATGGTCTTAATAACCTATTATTTTCTGAATTTCCATATTAAAGTCATGCAATGATTAAGAAATGAACTCCAATATACCATTCATTAAACACTATTGCTATAAAAAGCTCAGACTGTAAAGAACTTTTTTATAAAATTTAATCAAAAATCTTACCATACTAAATCATTTGTATCTTTTGACATTTTCCACGCCAACTCAAACATTATTAGAGATGCCTGTAATAAATAAAGACAAATTTAATGATAAAGGAAGTAAAACAAAAAAAAAATTAATTGAAGGAAAATTTTGGCTGACTAAAGTAATATCTTTGACATTTTATCTGTAAGAGTTCACACTAAGCCTCATTGTTTGTGTGCTGTTTTTAACTGGGTTTCAACAATTTTTCATCATGTGTACAATCTCAAAGACTACAAAATATATGAGCATGCCAACACAAAATAGACCCATACTGTGAAACTGATGATCTCTATCACACATTTGTTTATCTGGTACCTTTTGAGTTTTTTGCAAATGACCCCAATGATCCATGATTGGACAAAAAAAATTATTGTGTGCATTTATCGTCACCCGCCTAAAAAAACTGGTCAGTAGGTCAGCTAAACTTTTATCAAAATCTGATTGGCAAACCCAGAAATGGCCTTATTCAGTTCCGAAATTGGATCTGGTTTTTGTCAGACAGATATATTTTCACTTAGTTTTACACAATACTTGTTGATGATTTGACATTAAAGTAGTGGTTGAACAAAAAGAACACTGCTGTTGAGAACAATACCAGAGAAATATAATTTGCTGAATTTTAAATGCAAAAAAAAGTTAGGGTCTGCTCTCAAAAATAAGGATTGGTCCAGATACTGTAAACCCACATACTTTTTTTTGGGCTTATATGAAGTAATCACTTTAAAAATTTTCAGTAAATTAAATGACTTACTGAATGCTAGAGGAATAATGTACTTACAGCAGTGCCATATGTAGAGAACTGATTATATTCAAATAATATCTTCTGTCTGTAAGAAACAAAAACATTTGCCTTAGTCAGCAGCAATTCAGCATAAATAGGTCACACAATGAAACTGTATAAAATTGTATGTTTGTTTGATGGTTCAAATGCAACTTTCTCGTTTTTCTATGGGGAGTTCCCTGGGTGGACCAGAACTTTTTTTATTATCTTTTTCACTTATAGGTAAATTAAAGCATTTAATTTTGAAACATGTTTGCATGTTTTGGCTGTCATTGTTTTTTAAATTCTTATAAGTTTTATTCGATATCAAATACCTATTCTCATTCCAGATTCTTTTATCTCGTCTTTTTTCAATAGCTTCATCATCGAATCTTTTTCGTTTTCCTGACCTTTCTGAACTATCACTATCATTTCCTGAATCATCATCTGACTGTAAATAAAAAAAGTCTCACAGAAAGCATAAATAACCAGTTTTCCCTACAACTCATATCAGACAAAACTTTGATTAGTATGAGCACTAAGAGTTATTGAAACTCAAGATGTGTTTTTCCATTTAAAATTATTGAGCATTAAGATAGATTGAAACTCAAGGTGTATTTTACTCCATAAAATTATTGAGCACCGGGAGTTATTGAAATTCAAGGTGTATTATTTACTCCATAAGTTTATTGAGCATTAAAACTCAGTTGTTAAAACTCAAAGTGTATTTTACTCCATTAGTTTATTGAGCATTAAAACTCAGTTGTTGAAACTCAAGGTATATTTCACTCCAATGAGATAAATATACACCAGAGTTCAAACGACATGGACTTCAGCAATTAAAGATCACTGAACAGTTTTCAACAATGAGCAAAAACCCATACTGTATAGTTAGCCATAAAAGCCCAGACATGACAAAATTTGAAACAATTCAAATGAGGAAAATTACAAGTCCCAAAATCATTTTACTAGTAAATAAAAAAAACTCAACAATACTGATATAAACTTAAGTTATGTTGTTATATAAGATATCTCATAAATCTGTTTGGATAAATTACTTGACCTATTTATAACCAGTGATGTTCCTACCTTTATTCAAATGGGGCCTGGGCCCTAGGCAATTGGGAAAAATGTGTCGTATAACGTGTGAACTGGGAAAAAATAAATCATTGTTTTCATCAAAGTTCAATGAGGTTATTTATTAGAATTCCAATTTTCTATCATGTTCAAATTTGAACATATCATTTTTTTTCTTGATGCATGTAAATATATAACTTCAGGGTTTGACACTCACTAAATTCCTTTACTAGCCCAGAGGGCTATTTAAATTTTTTTTTTTTTTTTAAAGTCTTCCAGCTCTACTCTCCTGTCAAGTTCCAAAGGTACGACCAATGCTACAGGTGTCTGATGGCATGCCCCCCGCCCAATTTTAAAATAAATGAAGCTAAATAATGTGATCTGGGGCATTTCCCGATGTTTTGCATGATGAATTAACTGGTTTGCTAATAAAATGTAGAAACAAAACTATTTATTTTATTTTTAATCATCTCCATTAAGAGTCTGTATGCAGTGATCTGGAAAGATTTTGTCTCTATGGGCCAAGGGCTCCTCATATAAATTTTAATGGACCATTTTGAACATGAACAGGCCATTACAGTTTATAACATTAACATAAGTAAAAAGTATATACTAAAGCAGGAAAGTACATGTACTATCCAATACTGTTTATGATGGCAACAAAAGAAGAATCAAATCGTGATACACAGACTAGTAGGACAATTCACATTCAAATTATTGCAACTGATTTAACCACTTTTAATAGTAGGAGATAATTTAAGATTCGTTTCTATTCCCGTGAATTCCCGAGTGTGAGTGGACTGCCATACTTTCCATGGTATTTAATTAATGCCGTTTCAAGTATTTCTTTGGCTAGATTGCCTGTTTTAATTGATATTATCATCACAACTAACAGAAGAAAATAACGTATTGACCAGCGAAAAAAGCATTTCGCCGCACGCTTTGGCATGTTTACAAAATTTATAAATAAACCTAAGACCAAAAAATTAACAAAGACAATTAAGCGCATTTATGGAGACAAAAATGAAATTTAGAAAAATGCTCTATGTTTTTTTAATCGAAAATAATAATAATCATACATTCAATAATATTATTTAAAGAAAAAAAATTGACCGTACTAGCAAACTTTCATAGAATTAAAGTTGGTTCCTATGAAAATTTAGATCATGGTTATTCACGTTTTTCAGGTTTTCAGATAAACTATGCAGAACTAAGTTAAACCGGTTCCCGAAATATTATCATCTGTCTATCGACTTGTTTTTCTTCGGGAACAGTACGACAACCTATATTGTTGAACCAAATCATACGAACGATAAAATAATCAATAACCTTTCCGCTACAACTTGATTGAATTGGGAATTTTCAGTGTTCATTTGGGAATAAAATAGGGTTTTTCTAATTGGGAACAGGGCCGATATTCGGACCCAAAATAAAGGCAGGAAAAACACTGATAACATTCTTACATCATCATCTCTGAATAAGGAATCATACTCTGGTAACTCATCAAATTCTTCTTCCTTCATCAAAAGCTTGACTTGTACTGCATTAAATACATTGTGTACATCTACTGGCCTGTGACTAAAATATAATACATTAACAGTTTGAAAAGTACTGCATTAAATACATTGTGTACAATATACTGGCCTGTGGCTTAAATATAATACATTAACAGTTTAACTTGTACTGCATTAAATACATTGTGTACATCTACTGGCCTGTGGCTAAAACATAATACATTAACTGCTTGACTTGTACTGCATTAAATACATTGTGTACTTCTACTGGTCTGTGGCTAAAATATAATACATTAACAGCTTGACTTGTACTGCATTAAATATATTGTGTACATCTACTGGTCTGTGACTAAAATATAATACATTAACAGCTTGACTTGTACTGCATTAAATATATTGTGTACATCTACTGGCCTGTGACTAAAATATAATACATTAACTGCTTGACTTGTACTGCATTAAATATATTGTGTACATCAACTGGTATGTGGCTAAAATATAAAATATTAAAAGATTGACTTGTACTACATTAAACACATTGTGTACATCTACTGGTCTGTGGCTAAAACATAATACATAAACAGATTGACTTGTACTGCATTAAATATATTGTGTACATCTACTGGTCAGTTAACGTTGCTAAAATATAAAATATTAAAAGATTGACTTGTACTACATTAAACACATTGTGTACATCTACTGGTCTGTGGCTTAAATATAATACATAAACAGCTTGACTTGTACTGCATTAAATATATTGTGTACATCTATGGGTCTGTGGCAAAAACATAAAATATTAAAAGATTGACTTGTACTGCATTAAATACATTGTGTACATCTACTGGTCTGTGGCTTAAATATAATACATACACAGCTTGACTGGTACTGCATTAAATACATTGTGTACATCTACTGGTCTGTGGCTTAAATATAATACATAAACAGCTTGACTGGTACTGCATTAAAATACATTGTGTACATCTACTGGTCTGTGGCTAAAACCTAAAATATTAAAAGCTTGACTGGTACTGCATTAAATACATTGTGTAAATCTACTGGCCTGTGACTAAAATATAAAATATCAAAAGATTGACCTGTACTGCATTAAATACATTTTTACTGGTCTGTGGCTAAAATAGAATACCTAAACAGCTTTACTGGTACTGCATTAAATACACTGTGTAACAGTAAATCTACTGCTCTGTGGCTAAAATTTAATATATTAACAGTTTTGCTTAAAAATAAAAAAAATATATAAATGTGTTGTGTTTCAAGTAGGGCTATGACGATACACCTACCTAATGATACTATACATATCACGATACAAGGGTGACAATCCCATACATAATTTTATACCCAAACTGGAATTAATACATGTAGTCTAATAGCAAATGTTTTTTTTTTGTGTTTAGTAAACATGCTGTTCCTTAAGTGTAGCTAAAATACATAAAGATTTTAAATATTTATTTAACCAATGATAATCCAGCCAGCCATTTTCATAGAGACATGGATATGATATTTGAAACAATTTGTAACTCAAGTTTTGATTGGCCAATGGAAAATGATAACACTCAGAATCAATCCAGACGGGAACCAAACCGTAATATGAATGAAAATCGAACTAAGTAAATCTTTTCACCACTAGTTTAAAGCTCCTTTTCTAGATCTACCTTCACATGGAACACTTAACCATGTAAACATTACAAGATTGTCATGGAACACTTAACCATGTAAACATTACAGGATTGTCATGGAACACTTAACCATGTAAACATTACAGGATTGTCATGGGACACTTAACCATGTAAACATTACAGGATTGTCATGGAACACTTAACCATGTAAACATTACAGGATTGTCATGGGACACTTAACCATGTAAACATTACAGGATTGTCATGGGACACTTAACCATATAAACATTACAGGATTGTCATGGAACACTTAACCATGTAAACATTACAGGATTGTCATGGAACACTTAACCATGTAAACATTACAGGATTGTCATGGAACACTTAACCATGTAAACATTACAGGATTGTCATGGAACACTTAACCATGTAAACATTACAGGATTGTCATGGAACACTTAACCATGTAAACATTACAGGATTGTCATGGAACACTTAACCATGTAAACATTACAGGATTGTCATGGAACACTTAACCATGTAAACATTACAGGATTGTCATGGAACACTTAACCATGTAAACATTACAGGATTGTCATGGAACACTTAACCATGTAAACATTACAGGATTGTCCTTTGTTTTCTGGTGATTAGTTGTCTCATTGGAAACCATGTCAAGATTGTTTCCAAATGCCACACCTTATTTTCCAGATTTCAAATTCTCCTATATTAAAAGTAGACCCCATTTCTTACCTATCACATATATAAAATCTGACACTTTCTTCAGGCTGTAAAGTCTCTCTTATATTAAAAGTAGACCCTATATCTTACCTATCACATATATAAAATCTGACACTTTCTTCAGGCTGTAAAGTCTCTCTTATATTAAAAGTAGACCCTATATCTTACCTATCACATATATAAAATCTGACACTTTCTTCAGGCTGTAAAGTCTCTCTTATATTAAAAGTAGACCCTATATCTTACCTATCACATATATAAAATCTGACACTTTCTTCAGGCTGTAAAGTCTCAACAACATCTACTGATGCTCCACAATTTATAAATATCACATGTTTAACCTGCAAGTATAAGGTACATAACATCAATGGATGTGTACTGCTTCCAACAAATATTTGTGTAAACCACAATAAATATGTAACTTTCATTTGTATAATAGCTTTATACTTAATTACTGAACAAATTGGATACATTTTACTTCTTTTTCAGAAAAGGCTTTAAACAAATTATCATCGTTTGTTTATGTTTCCATGTTTTGACGACTTTTACACTTGTGCATATTCCCGTACAGTCCTTATGGTCTAAAGTCACAGCTAGAGTAAACCATTTAACGACGTCATTTACACCGATCGACCTAAGATATCTCATTCATAAAAAGCATACAACTTAGTGGCATGATTGGAACAGCCCAACCATATCATGATGTTGCTGATCAACTGACATACAATATATTCGTATTTTACCACAGGTGTGTACTCAAAGTGTTTGAAGAACATCATATTAGAATTGAGGTATTTAAGATGGACTAATTAGTAGTTAGCAGGGTTAATAACTTCTTGTATCAACCATACTTTAGACTTTACTCCTAAATGCTGTGTGCTTAGCTATGAAACAGCAAATACCAATTCTAAAGTCTTTGGTTTTACCAGGCCTGGGTTCGAACACACAATGCCCTCCACTCAAGCTGAACAAGCTACCACAAGACCACTGAGGCGGTAACTGTATACTGAGTATGCAATGTATACAAAACCTACCCCTTCTGAATTTTCTACATAAGCTTTCTCTAATTCTTCTTTTCCTGTGACAGGGACAATTGTATAAAGGATTTGATCACACTGGAATAAATACTGAAAAAGAAAGCCAATGAAAAATAAAAATAATATTGTTTAGATCTTTGACAAAAAGACAGCCATTCAAAGTAGTATGTTAACATAATCTTTGTTTGGGCAAAAACACAATAATACAAGTGTTTCTACTAACATGCTGATAAAAAAATTATGTTCAGTAGGTAAGCAAATAGTTCTATTTTTCAAAACATTTTGAGCATGCATATGATTCAACAAGGGAAACTGTCTTGACTTTAATAATGCTAAAAAATCATTCTGGTAGGCACTAAGAATTAGGATCAGTTTGATTAGCATAAATACATGTATTTTTTTAAAGGTTTTATGAAGTATGTTTTTCATATCATTTGACTTTTACTTCTGCAAAATTGACAGACTTGATTGGTCCCAAATTGTCATTAGTATTTTACCAATATGGGCACTTATTAACTATTTGAACACTGTAACCAAAGACTGTTGAAGTAGGATTACTTGTACAGGTACAGTAGTTAACATCCTTAAGTATGAATTTTATATATTGCCTTGATGGGCTGAGTGGTCTATGTAGCTGACTTACATCTATACAATGCACAGACAACATCCGCCTTTTACTACCTGGATTAACAAAATCGGACTGAATGTACTGAATCTAGGTGTGTTTGAATCAAATTCAATAAATAACATATTTATATTAAACAATCAAGCATCTAAAAAGGGACAGACATGTACATCATAGAACAATTATTATTGACTGAGTATATATATGTTTTTCATTGTTGTTTGTACATCTGTTTTCTCAGAGAACTCATTGCTGCTACATAGTGTGTTCTGTTGTAATGTCATTTATTTTACGCTTTTCCTGTTATCGGTTTTTATGTTTTATAAAACTGCAGTCGTAATTAATTTGATTTTTCAGCTTCTTGCAAGTCAGTGGTTTGCTCTAGGTTCTTAGCTTTTCCCAGATAGAATGGACACTACCTAATTGTATGAATGTATGAAAAGTGGCATTACAGTACACAGTATACACAATGAAACAAACAATAACTGAGTATTAAATGATATCCTACCTGAAGTATTTTACAAACAAACAATAACTATGTATTAAATGATATCCTACCTGAAGTATTTTACAAACAAACAATAACTGTGTATTAAATGATATCCTACCTGAAGTATTTTACAAACAAACAATAACTGTGTATTAAATGATATCCTACCTGATGTATTTTACAAACAAACAATAACTGTGTATTAAATGATAACCTACCTGAAGTATTTTACAAACAAACAATAACTGTGTATTAAATGATATCCTACCTGAAGTATTTTACAGGCACATAAAGCATCAACATCAAAGGCAACTAAAACAAGCACTCTCTGTAAATAAAACAATAAACATTATATATGTTTTCGAAACTAGTTAAGTTCTACTTATAATTCAATAAGGAAAATATATTCTTGACACTAATAGTAGTGTCCATTAATGTCACATGCAATATGATGCAGGATTGACAAAAAAGTGGTTGGCAGCTGGTCAGGGTTGTTACCTCAACAAGTAACTTTCATAATTACCACAACAATATAAAAATAAGGAGAAGTGGTATGATTGCCAATGAGACAACTATCCACCAAATTTCAAAAGAAGTAAATGTAAGCAATTATAGGCAACCTTACGGCCTTCAACAATGAGAAAAACCCATACTGAATAGTGGGCTATAAAAGGCCTTGACATGAAAAATATGAAACAATTCAATTGAAAAAAATTACTGCCTTATTTCATGTATTTATAACAATGCAATTTACAAAACTAGAGGCTCTCAAGAGCCTGTGTCGCTCACCTGTATTTACTCATGCTTTGGAAATCATGTAAAATAAGGTTAAAATCATAATTAATAGTATTAGATATTAGATATTATAATGATATCTAAGATAACAAAAAACTGCAAAATTTTTGTAAAATTACTAACTCAGGGGCAGCAACCCAACAACGGGTTGTCGGATTCGTCTGAAAATTTCAGGGCAGATAGACCTAAATCTGATGAACATTTTTGCCACCTGTCAGATTTGCTCTAAATGCTTTAGTTTCAGAGATATAAACCAAAAACAGCATTTTACCCCTATGTTCTATTTTTAACCAAGTCGGCCATGATGGTTGGAAGGCGGGGTCATCCGACAAATTTTTTAAACTAGATACCCTAATAATGATTATGGCCAAGTATGGTTAAATTTGTCTCAGTAGTTTCAGAGAAGAAGATTTTTGTAAAAGATTACAAAAATTTACAAAAAATTGTTAAAAATTGACTATTAAGGGCAATAACTCCTAAAGGGGTCGACTGACAATTTTGGTCATGACAACTTATTTGTAGATCTTACTTTGCTGAGCATTATTACTGTTTACAGTTTATCTCTATCTATAATAATATTCAAGATAATAACCAAAAACTGCAAAATTTCCTTATATTACCAATTCAGGGGCAGCAACCCAACAACAGGTTGTCAGATTTGTCTGAAAATTTCAGGGGAGATAGATCTTGACCTGATAATCAGTTTTACCCATGTCAGATCTACTCTAAATGCTTTGGTTTCAGAGATATAAGCCAAAATCTACATTTTACCCCTATGTTCTGTTTTTAGCCATGGCGGCCATCTTGGTTGGTTGGCAGCGTCATCGGCCACATTTTTTAAAACTAGATACCCTAATGATGATTGTGGCCAAGTTTGGTTTAATTTGGACCAGCGGTTTCAGAGGAGAAGATTTTTGTAAAAAGCTAACGATGACGGACGACGACGACGACGGACGCCAAGAGATGAGAAAAGCTCACTTGGCCCTTCGGGCCAGGTGAGCTAAAAAAACAAACAAATATGACAGACTTGGTCCAAAAACAACAACTGACCTACAGGCTCCTGACTTGGGAAGGCACATATAGAATGTGACGAGGTTAACCATGTTTGAAGGCCCCAACCCTCCCCTAACCTGGGATAGTGGTGTAACAGTACAACACAACTATAAAAATCATTTGAAAAAGACTTAACTCATCAGATCAATACAAAGCAGAAAAGTTTCTAACAAAAACTCAGAGGAAGTTATGCTGAAAAGGAGTTTCTTTTAAATACTACTTAGTCGTTACTTTTGTAAATAACAAATACAAAGCAGTCAATTCAAACAGATTTTAGGAGCATAAGGTTATTTTATCAGATATCTGTTAATTTCTTTCATGAAATTTAAAAACTAATAGTTATTTTGTTATATTTCCACTTGTCCACTGGCAATGTTTTTAGTATATATGCATTTACATATATTTTTAAGTGGAACTATAACACCTGCTTGGTAAGGTGTATTATTCATAATTTAGTGCATTATTCTGTAGGAGGTTATGTAACATTATATAAATAACACATAGCTGAGAGGGTGATAGAGCAGATTGTTACCCCAAGAAAACATTGTCAACTGAGGCGAAGCCAAGGTTGACAATGTCTTTTCGAGGGGTAACAATCTGCTCTATCACCCTCTCAGATATGTGTTATTTAATTTATTATACTGAATGTCATTACAGGCCTCTACAATAACTTTTTTTTCAACTTGCCCAATATGACAAGTACACATCAAAACTTACTTGTCCAAATGAAATTGTAACTTGTCCAAAAAAAAAAACTTAATATTAACCAAGGATTTGTATAGTGAGAACACTATACAAATCCTTGTATTAACCTTTTTTGCATTTTAAGTTGATTCAATGAACATAAGAATAGAATTTGATTTATATCTCTTGATATCTATTTCAAAAATATGAGTCGAGAACAACTGAATCAAGTCATGTCACAGGATTTAGGTTCTAGTTTTCATCAATGCCAAAGTCTCATCAGACTCTACACATGAGGCACAGTCTGGTAGGCCTGTTTGTCTACACTCATTTGGTTTGTATCCTGGTCTTTCATGTTGGTAAAATATTGATTATTATGATTAATGCCTTACAACAAACAGCTTTGTTTTTATACGACCGCAAAAAAATTTTGTGGTCGTATATTGGTATGATGTTGGCGTCGTCGTCGTCCGGCGGCGTCTTCGTCCGGCGTCGTCGTCCGGCGTCGTCGTCCGAAGACACATTGGTTTTCGCACTGTAACTTTAGTTTAAGTGAATGGATCTTTTTGAAATTTGACCATAAGGTTAAATACCACAAAAGGAAGGTTAGGATTGATTTTGGGGGTTATGGTACCAACAGTTAAGGAATTAGGGGCCAAAAAGGGCCCAAAAATAAGCATTTTCAAAGTTTCCAGACAATAACTGTGGAACGGTGTATGGATCTCTCTGAAATTATACTACAAGTTTCCATACCACAAAGGGATGGTTAGGATTTGCTTTGGGGGGTTATGGCTCAAACCGTTTAGGAATTAGGGGCAAAAAAGGGGGAAAAACAAGGTTGTCCTGGTTAATGGACAAATACTTTAGTACAAAACATAATTTAAAGCAGTGTAAGGGAGGTAAATCAAATACATCATTGAAATTATCTCCCTTACACTGCTTTTAAATTATGTATAAAGTAATGGTTAATGAACAATAGAGATAATTTAAAACAGTGTAAGGGAGGTAATCCAAATACAACGTTTTGGTTACTTCCCTTACACTGCCTTTAAATTATGTGTAAAGCATATTTATAAAGGAAGACCAGTAAAAATATCTGCAAATGTTGCATCTTTTTTTTTTACAAAAAAATCCATATGAAGGTCCAAAGGGTCCAAAATTAAACTTTGTTTGATTTTAGCAAAAATTGAATATATGAGGTTCTTTGATATGCTGAATCTAAACATGTATTTAGATTTTTGATTTTTGGCCCAGTTTTCAAGTTGGTCCAAATTGGGGTCCAAAATTAAACTTTGTTTGATTTCAACAAAAATTGAATATATGGGGTTCTTTGATATGCTGAATCTAACCATGTATTTAGATTTATTTATTTGTGGACCCCGTTATCAAATTGGTTCATATTGAGGTCAAAAGGGTCCAAAATTAAACTTTGTTTGATTTCATCTAAAATTGAATTATTGGGGTTCTTTGATATTCCGAATCTAACCGTGTATTTAGATTTTTAATTTTGGGTCCTGTTTTTTAAATTGGTCTACATTAAGGTCCAAAGGGTCCAAAATTAAACTTAGTTTGATTTTAACAAAAATTGAATTCTTGGGGTTCTTTGATATGCTGAATCTAAACATGTGTTTAGATTTTTGATTATGGGCCCAGTTTTCAAGTTGGTCCAAGATAGGGTCCAGTATTTAAACTTTGTTTGATTTCAACAAAAATTGAATATATGGGGTTCTTTGATATGCTGAATCTAAACAAGTATTTAGATTTTTGATTATGGGCCCAGTTTTCAAGTTGGTCCAAATTGGGGTCCAAAATTAAACTTTGTTTGATTTCAACAAAAATTGAATATATGAGGTTCATTGATATGTTGAATCTAACCATTTAGATTTTTTATTTGTAGGCCCCGCTTTCATATTGGTTCATATTGAGGTCAAAAGGGTCCAAAATTAAACTTTGTTTGATTTCATCAGAAATTGAATTATTGCCAAATCTAACCGTGTTTTTAGATTTTTAATTTGGGTCTCGTTTTTTAAATTGGTCTTCATTGAGGTCCAAAGGGTCCAAAATTAAACTTAGTTTGATTTTAACAAAAATTGAATTCTTGGGGTTCTTTGATATGCTGAATCTAAACATGTGTTTAGATTTTTGATTATGGGCCCAGTTTTCAAGTTGGTCCAAGTTGGGGTCCAAAATTAAACTTTGTTTGATTTCAACAAAAATTGAATATATGGGGTTCTTTGATATGCTGAATCTAACCATGAATTTAGATTTTTTATTTGTGGGCCCTGCTATCAAATTGGTTCATATTGAGGTCAAAAGGGTCCAAAATTAAACTTTGTTTGATTTCATCAAAAATTGAATTATTGGGGTTCTTTGATATTCCAAATCTAACCGTGTATTTAGATTTTTAATTTTAAGTCCCGTTTTTTAAATTGGTCTACATTAAGGTCCAAAGGGTCCAAAATTAAACTTAGTTTGATTTTAGCAAAAATTGAATTCTTGGGGTTCTTTGATATGCTGAATCTTAACATGTGTTTAGATTTTTGATTATGGGCCCAGTTTTCAAGTTTGTCCAAGTTGGGGTCCAAAATTAAACTTTTTGTTTGATTTTAACAAAAATTGAATATATGGGGTTCTTTGATATGCTGAATCTAACCATGTATTTTGATTTTGGACATTGGACCATAATAGGTAAATTAAAAAAAATTCAAATTCTTAGACCACATTCTTTCTGTGTCAGAAACCTATGCTGTGTCAAATATTTAATAACAATCCAAATTTAGAGCTGTATCAAGCTTG